AAGAGCTCCCAATGGTCAAAGCTGGAACTGAACAAAAAAAAATATTATTGGATTATTTCCCCAAGTATACAGTAAATATCTATAAGTCCATAGTGATATAAATAAGTTGAATAAATGGAGGAGAAAAAGACCAGTTTATTTCTGAAAAATTCCAAGGAGAGCAAAACTTCCCTCTCCTTAAGTATAGGCTGCACACGGTGACTTTCATGGCAGAGTGCAGTACTGGATAGAGAGGAGGAATTTTACAATGGACAAAACTGGCAAATAAGACCCAAGCCAGGTGATCAAGGCTAAGATCAACAGTAATAAATCACCCCATGGCCAGTGTGGCTTGGTTGGTGAAGTGTTGTCCAATGCACCAAGAGGTCTCCGATTCAATTCCTAGTCAGGGCACATGCCTGAGTTGCAGGCTCAAGGCAGCCCATTGAGCTTCTCTCGCTCTCTCGCTCTCTCTCTCTCAAAAATCAATAAAAACATACTAAAATCATTTTTCTAAATAGTAATAAATCATGCTGTTATTATGTATTCTTGATTATGTGATGAGAATGGCACTTTACCTTTGTGGTCTTCCTCAAAATCCCTTAACCCCAACCTAATGAGAAAACCTCAATCCTAACTGAAGAACTTTCTATAAAATAACTGACTCAAAACTCAGGGTCATCAAAAAACAAGGGAAGTCTAAGAAGCTGTCACAGCAAAGAGGTACCTAGAGAGACATGATGACTAATTGTATCTTCAATGGGATCCTGGAACAGAAAAAGGACATTAGATGAAAACTAAGGAAATCAGAATAAAGTATGGACTTTAGTTAATACTGTATCCACTAGTCCATTGTGACAAATGTACTATACTATTGTAAAACAGTAAACATTAGGGAAACTGGATGAGGGGTAGATGGGAATTCTTCATACTATTGTCACAACTTTTCTGTAACTAATCTGAAATAAAATAAATTTCAAGGTCAATTTTACCACCTCCTTCTCAGGTAATAAAGCAGTATAGAACATTCTCACACCCCAAAGGCCCTTTACTGGAGAACTGGGAGGGGCAAAGTAAGAGGGGCCCCTTTAAACCAGGCCTTAAGATATTCAATGGACAAATATATGACCCACCAAGTTGGTTCATTAAAATAGCAATAAAGAGAAAGATATTTTTAAGCAGACAGTCTAAGTATTATAACTGATTAAGTCAGTGAAATTGTTTTCCAAGAGAATATTGACAGGCCCATTAACTGGAAGCTATTTTTAAAGCCCCAATTAAGCAGCAAGATTAACAGCAGTCACTGTCACTTTTTAAAGTTCTTAATTAATTGCTCTTATAAGGTTTTCTCCTTTGTGTAAATGCCCAGGCATTGAGCCTCCTTTTAGTGTCCCTTTGGAGCCTGTAGAATGTATTCCTCTGAAATTTTGTTTTCCTGATTAAAATTTGAGGCGCAATCAGAAATGTCAATGCAAAAGTCCATTGACAGTTCTTTCAACCCTGAAAGGAAAATAAATTATTGACAAGCCGCAGGATAGCATTCAATGCTTGGGGCCCCCTAGTCATCCTGCTTTAGTTTTTCCTTTTAATCTATATATGTAAAAGCCTAAGCCTTTCGATCGTCCAACTGGTAGCTATGACATGCACTGACCACCAGGGGGCAGATGCTCAATGCAGGAGCTGTCAAGCTGCGGTATGTAACCTGAGAACCATGCTCTCCCAATCTGGGACCCCCTCAGGAGATGTCAGAGAGCCAGTTTCAGCCTGATCCCCGCAGGCCAGGCTGAGGGACCCACCAGTGCACAAATCCGTACACCAGCCCTCTAGTATATATTAAACTTGAAACTTGAGCAAGGCAACAAAGAGGGGCACTTGTCTTTACTAACTGCCACGTATGGCGGGAGGTGGCAGCTTGAATACTTACAGACCAGTAAACCTGCCAGTCCAATTTCAGTTTCCACTGCAGCATGGGAAAAAAGATAGGGAAAGAGAAGGAATGAATAAAAAACTACTTTGAAATGTTTTACTTCATCTTAGGCTCACCAGGAAATAAAGAAAATCAAGTCAACAAGGAGTAATGGGTGACAAACTTCACTTATCAAGTAGGAAATACCATAAAATTATCTTAATGTGCATGATTAAGTCATTGAAACCTCTTAGGTATTAAATACAAGCACAAGTACCAAGTAAATTATCCCTTTTCAAGTACCAACACAGGGGCCTCTTTTTGCACCTGGGTAGTGTTACCATGGTCAGGACAATCTGGATGCTCAGAGGAATTGAGATCCCATATTTTAAACCCTGGCTATTCATGATATATTAAATATTTCTCCTTTCCATAGAAGCCATTTCTTTCTTTTTTTTTGGTTGATCTTCACTGGAGGACATTTCCCCCCATTAATTTTAGAGAGCATGTAAGGGAGGGGAAACGGAAGAGAGGAGAAAGAGAAACATTGATGTGAGAGAGCCACATCAATTGGTTGCCTCCCCTGAGCCCCAACCGGGGCAGGGAATCTGCAATCCAGGTATGTGCCCTTGACCGGAATCAAACCTGAGACCCTTCTTAACCAAGAACCATGCCGGCCAGGGATCTTCTTTTTTTAAAAAATATATTTTATTGATTTTTTACAGAGAGGAAGGGAGAGGGATAGAGAGTTAGAAACATCAATGAGAGAGAAGAATCGATCAGCTGCCTCCTGCACACCCCCCACTTGGGATGTGCCTGCAACCAAGGTACATGCCCCTGACAGGAATCGAACCTGGGACCCTTCAGTCCACAGGCCTACGCTCCATCCAGTGAGCCAAACCAGCTAGGGTGGGATCTTCTTTTTTAAATCCTCACCTGAGGACATGCTTAGAGATTGGGGGGTGGGGGTGGAGGAGAGGACTATTAATCGGTTGCTTTCCTTATGTGCCTTCTCCCCGCCACAACCCAGTTATGTACCTGATCAGGAATTGAGCCAGCAAACTTTCGGTCCATGGCATGATGCTCCAACTAAGCCACTCCGGCCAGGCGAAGCCATTTCTATTTCACTATGAAGGACTGAGGCTGTGATCAGGCGCTGCTGGAATTCAAGACTGCTGTTCTTAGGACCTCTTCCTTAGGTGCCCATTAAAAGAGAACTATTGAAGTCACCTTAGTCCTCTAAAAGATGAAGGCTGTATGGTAAAGGTTTGCTATAATGCAAAAGTATTAACAATATGGAATTTTTCATACATTGGTATTAACCCTGACCCTGTCAAGTCTCAAGGCCTGAATTTCATTCTCTAGAACAGGGGTTAGTAAACTGTAACTTGCAGGCCAATTCTAGCCTACCATCTGTTTAAATGTTTTTATTGGTTTTTAGAGAGGGAGAGAAATATCCACCGGTTGCTTCCCATATGTACCCTGACAGGGGGATCAAATCAGCAACCTGGGTATATGCCCTGACCAGGAATTGAACCAATGACCAATTGAGCCACACTGGTCAGGGCCTGCCATCTGTTTTTGAAAGACCCTGAGCTTAAAATGGTTGGGGGCAAATTTTTTGTTGCAACACTACAAATGTTATGAAATTCTCATGTCAGAGCCCATAAAGTTTTATTGGAACATAGTAATGCTCACTTATTGCTATGTTGTCTATGGCTGCTTTTACACCACAACTGCAGAGGTGAGTAGTTACAACAGAGATTATGTGGTGTGCAAGCCTAAAATATTATCCTGCCCTTTACAGGAAGTTTGCCAACCCTCCTCTAGAACATTGCATAATAAAACTTTTTGCATTGGTGGAATTATTCTGAACTGTCCAATGGTAGTCACTAGATACTGACATGGAAAAACTGATTTTACTTAATCTTTTGTCAATTTAAATAGCCATATGTATTGCATAGCAGAGCTCTAGAAAATGAGAGTTTAGTTTTCTACCTGAAAAGAAAACCTCACTTCTATGTTTTTCCTCTGCTCTCACACTACCACCACTGTCAACACTTTCTGACACCTGCTTGGTTTCCCCAAACCAAGCAAATCTGGGTCACCAGCTGGGTTTCCTACAATTTAACTCAATTCTGACACTATTTACACCTAGAAACCATCAGATATCACAGGTTAAGGGCACATTCCTCAAGACTGTGCCGTGCCCCTCCCACCTCCAAATTATAAGTCCAGTTATTACAGTGCTTCCGACTAATAGGTGTTTCTGGTGACCATCCCCCATTAGAAGAATTTCCTATCACCTGGGAAATTCCATGGGCTTTAGGAGATCTGGTCAGGAACCAAAATTTTAAAAAGCTGAATATTAAACACAAGATGCTCTTAGTGCTCTTATCACTTAGGAAATTACAAGTGTTTTAAGAGCTCTGGGGCAGGAACCAGGGGCAGAGACCAATATATATACATATATCTATCTATCTATCTCTATTATTTCATACCACCCATCTGAGCTGAAGCAAGTTAATTAGGACCTACACGACAAAAGGATTACATACACATTTGAGGTTCCGATGGAGACAGGTTTCTCTGGTGAAGGCACCTAGAATTCAGAGAAAAGGAATGACAGGCTGTCCTTAACAGGGGTCCTTTTCTAACAGAAAAAAATTGTTTGGCCCCACTGGCGTGTCTCAGTGGTTGAGCAGCGAGCTATGAACCAGGAGGTCAGGGTTCAATTCCTGGTCAGGGCACACGCCTGAGTTGTGGGCTCGATCCCCAGTATGGGGCATGCAGGAGGCAGCCCATTAATGATTCTCTCTCATCATTGATGTTTCTATCTCTCCCTTCCTCTCTGAAATCAGTAAAAATATATTTTAAAAAAATTGTTCGCACCCAGACTAGAACTAACTCCACAGGAGAAGTTATTCCACTCTCAGAGGTGCAAAACACTGCCCAAAGGTACTCGGCCACAACACCAAAACAGTGCTTGGAGCCAGACCTCATTAAAGGCAGCGCTTGCTCTTCCAACAGTGTAACACCATCCAAGGCATCACACTAGCCTGGATAGCTGACAACCGCTGGATAATTCCTGAAACAGCTTTTTTATTTGTTTCAGATACCCTGGCACCCCAGGCAGAAGACATGGATACAAGTATCCCCATGAATTAAATGTTGACTACAAAACAGAGGCCTGGAAGCACTGATTGAAGACCATGCTGCCAAATCCTTTAAATGAATAGGAAACAAGAATCCCTTTGCCATGCCTTCAGTCATTTTATCCAACATTCAGAGAGTTTCTGCCATGTGCCAGGCACTGAGCTTGGGTTCTTGCAGTGAACAAGGTAAGATACAGTATCCTTTCCCTTATGGAATGTACAATCTCCCTATAAATTCCTCAGATGGAATGATACAGATAATCTCAAAGATGCTACATGCCTTCAGACCACAACTATCAAAATCCTACTCAGGCTGAATTTGTTGGGGACACATATAGGTGCCTTTGCCTCCCAATGTTTCCTGATGGACAACGACTAACAAAAGGCCCGACACATAGGCAATATGGGGATGAATAGGGACGTTTACCTGAAATTCCATACACAGACTGTCCACCTGCCACTAATTTCCTCTATTCAGGAGGGCCAAGGATGCCCAACTTTCAAGTCATCCTAAAAAGAAAAAAATTTCACTGTTCAACATCCCAGATTAAAACAGCAGCTCTTAAGGCTACACTTCTGTAGATGTAAATAGAATGCCACCTGCTATTTATAATTTACTATATTTTTTTATATTCACAGGAATTATTTTACTTCCCAGTATTTGCCTTTTTCTTGCCCATGTTACCACTAAAACTAACCATTCCTCAAACCCTCTAAATATCACTAGTTTTAAGACCCCATATATAAAAGGCATATTCACATCGAATATTGAAGTATTCAAAAAAAAAAAAAAAAGCATTCAGCTAAGGGAATCCTTTTAAGGGGAAGCCAATTGATAGAACAAAACTAGCTTTGATAAATAACTCCCCCACCTCCCCAACATTCTCACCAGTTCCTCCTATGGAAACTAGGAAGTCACTTTTCACAGAAGCAGCAACTAAGTCAGCTCTAATGGATAATCCCCTGCATCACCCTGAGTGAAAAGTGTTTGCCTAGAACTGAGAATGATCTCCTCAGAAAATTAGCATTCCAAAACAAAATCATTACCAAGGGGGCTCAAGATTTACTGTTCCAAAAAGGCAACAACTCTGTTCACCCCTGAAATAAGAAACCACAAATATCTGGTCAGCCTAAACCAGTAATTATTACGGTTGTAGCTAGGCCAAGTGTCTAGAGCCCCTTAATCAATTGCTATTTTTATATTTTAGTAATGAAGTAGAGAAGAATGCCCATAATTTAAAAGCAAATTCACATCAACATTTTCCTATAAGGCATTCTCATACAAAGTACAGCTATGAAATCCCTCCACAAAGGGATCATCCTGACTAGCTCTGTATGGTGGGGGAGTGGGAGCCATGACATTTTATTTCAGAGTAATTAGCAAAAATCCCATGTACTTCCTGCCTGTATAAGGCCCCCTGAGTACTTGGTAGCCTGACTTTTTCTCTCTACTTATACATCCCTTCATGGCTTGATTACTTTTTCTGTTTCCAATGTGTGATTCAAGTGACCTCATACTACCAAACCTGTTGCACCAGAACCACTTAGAAAGGTCTGGATTTTTAGGTTTCTCCCTGCAAAGTCATGCTCTTACAGATTGGATAAGCACATATGCTGGCATCCTGGTATAGTTAACAACCGAGTTGGCATGAACCAGGCCCAGAATGCCAACCAGCTATGGGCTACTGTTCTTCCAGCAGTGTAACACTTGCCTAGGTATAAGGCAACCTAGGCAGCTGCCTACAGCTGGGGCCAAAGGTAGGTGAATGGAGTTGTACTCACCTGACGCTGCATCTGTCCAAAGTCCACAACTGCAATCAAAGCACTCCAGGTTAGTCAGCCAATAGTTAGGGAACACTTGTGTGGGGTTCAAGACCCCAGGCCCCCAAACCCCATAACTCTGTGAGGCCTGAGCTACAGAAACAATAACAGGCAATAGAACAATTTTCCCTTGGTTAACGTTATTTTCACATGTTATTGTTACTTATGTCCCTCGGCAGTTCAACAGGATCAAATCAATGGTCTGGTCAATAAGTATCAGGAAGCTTAACAGCCAATAAACAGCTGGCAAGTAACTTAAAAGTCTCTACCTCAGTCTCCTCATTTGTAAAATAGGGATGTTATTAATAGTACTCTGTATGCAAGGTGGATGGGAGACTTAAATGGAATATAAATTATGCTCATAGGATAATATCTGGTAGAGAACAGGCACTCAATAAACACTTGCTGTTATCAGGAGTTACATTACAGTCAAGGAGATGATGAATACAAGTGAGTAGAAGGGAAAAGTTACCCTGGGAGGGGAAATTGGAAGGCTAGTTAAAACTAAGTTGAGGAGGGCCTTGATTATGGGGTCTCTTTAAGAACTATAAAAGCAGTACTTCAGAAAAGTAATTGGTCTCAGTACTGGATGTGAAAGGAACTTGAGACAGGTTGACATTCCTGCCAAAGATCCTCGACTATTGGTTGAAAACAACCAAGATGTTTGCAAGAATGCTAATAAACATTCCCACCCTTATAATTTACCTTTATTTCAGGTTAGTGTATCTATACCTTTTCCCAGCCATCTCTAATTTCATTCCTAACCGCCTCTAAATGATTTAGAGCAAAAAGTAACTACAGGGGGCTTACTGTCTAGGTCAAAAAACTAATCCCTTTCAGGGCCTTGGGTTGAAGGAACTGCCGGAACTCCACCGGCCACGTGTTCCTCACCACCTTACCCAAGCCCCTGGCCCTCGTGCCTGGGGAGCTAGGCTCTCCACGACCAGCTCTATGTGACTCTCCAGGGACAAGAGGGATGGTAGGAAACAAGGGGCGACCCTAGGGCTACGAACTCCCAGAGTCTTTTCAAGATGCCCTCCAAATCCGGGGTCAGGAGGAAACGAACCCTAGTTTCGCCTCGTGCCTTGAAAGAAGCCTCCCCACCGCTGCCTCTTGTCCCGGCAGGTAAACCTCCAAGGCCTCCCCCGACTTGGTCCTTACTCACCGCGTGCCCGGAGCTCGGAGCTCGGAGCTCGGCCGGGACACTCCAGCCCCCGCAGGGGCCGCGGAGGAAAGGGAAGCCGGGAGCCGAGGAGAGCCCCGCCCCGGGGAGGTTCCGGGGCGGGGCCCCAGTGGGCGAGGCCTGAAGTCCCGCCCAGGAAAGACCGAATTGGAAAAATGCGAATGCCGAGGCATAGATGAGCATACTCCTTATTGGACTTAGACCACAGAAGGGAAAGGGTAGGAATTCTAACAAGGGCTGCATTTATTTGACTCTCATCCCCTTTGTTACTTATGGGTTGAAGGGGCGCTGGGTTTGGAGTTGCCAAGGCGTGTGTCCTGCTACCCACGCTGAGCGCCCCCGGGACGCCGGTTCTTACACGTAGGGCGCCTTTCCTTTCCTGCAGGCTCAACCTACGCTTTTCCCATCTCCCACGCAGATCCTCTTTCTGCCTTTCTCCAGCAGCGCTCTCACTCGGCTAATGGCTCGCCCACCCACAAAGGTCACCTTGGTTTTCAGAATCTCTCCAGGAGGTTTTCGGGTAGATTATGCTTGTCACTCACTCCTACAGCCTAACCCTGCGGGACTACATCCTGGCGCCTGCAGTGGGATCCTTAGCCGAGCTGCAGCAACTGAAGAGCACTGGCTTTCCCTGCCAGACTTGCACCGTGGCACACTCAGCCAGAGAGGCCAGATTGCTCACCAAATGTACCAGCATTTCCTTTGAACGTTAAAACTTCCTTCCCCATCTAGCTGAAGTCAGTATGATTCTATCCTGCTGCACAGCTGGTGAAGCTGGAGCCCAGAGGGGCAAGGGCTCAGCAGCAGTAGTTCCTAAATCCATCCCCCAAATTCTGGAGTCCCTTTCTCGCTGTCCCGCCCCCTCCAGCGCCCCTCCATCAATCTCTGCTGATCTATCTCGGTGCCAGGTGAGCCACTGCCCTTGGCATCTGCCAACATGTTTTATTATCTTTTCTCAGCTTTTTCATAATGAAAAATATGTGCTTCCTGTGCACACAGACCTCTGCTGAGAAAGCCCAGAGCCCTAAATTGATTTTACAAGAGACCCTAGGCCAGAAGGCCAGAGAGCCACTAGAGAAGTGGCAAGCACAGATCCTCTCCAGTTTTGATGGGAGTTGGACACAGGCTGTGGTTGGAAAAAGGCTTACATAAATACAGTAATTAAAAAAGTCACATGAGCTGTGCTGGCTTGGTAGGCAGGAGCTCTGCTTTGCAGTTAAATAGGAATGTGGCTGAAGACTGCTGCCATAATCAATGCCAGCATCCGGCTGTCACAGTGTGTTCATAAAGGAGGGTTATGAGAGCTATAAAACTGGGCAGATTGGGTGGGTAATTGTCCTTCGGAGCTCTGCTAAAGGAGAAATTACGTTGGCATCTCATATATTTTGCTTTCATTCCTTCCAAACACACAAAATGGAGAAGGCAGAGCTATCCTGAGGATTCATGAAAAGGAAAGATGAGGTTTATGTGTATGCATGCATGTGTGCTTTAAAGAGACAGTGAGGCTAGGGAGAAACTAAGGCCTCAGTTAGAAGGACCAATGACCTGGTGACAACTAGATTCACAGATTAGTCCAGGTAGAAGGCAGGATTGTGTTGAGGGAAGGCCAACCATTATGAGTAAGGCTGAGCTGTAGGCCATGTTCTCATGTTATATTAAAAAGATGGATACCTTTTTTTAGGAATAGGCCATGCAGTGTCCTTAGTGGAAAACCTAGATTATGATTTTTTCATTTCCTAGTTTTAAAAAAAGATTTTTCTTACTCAACTGTACATATATATATATTTAATTGATTTCAGAGAGTAAGGGAGAGGGAGAGAGAGATAGAAACATCAGTGATGAGAGAATCACTGATCGGCTGCCTCCTGCATGTCCCCTACAGGGGATCGAGCCAGCAACACAGGTATGTGCCCTTGACTGGAATCGAACTCAGGACCTTTCAGTCCACAGGCTGACGTTCTTGCCACTGAGCCAAACTGGCTAGGGCTCTTATTCAAACTTCTTAACCTCCATCCTTTTAATTCTGAATTCATTTTGGTGAGTTGATTTATATGGTCTTTTACCTATAATATCAACTACTTTTTTGCTTGTTTCTTATTCTGAAGACAAGATTGTTACAAATAATAACAAAAAAGAAAAGGGAAAATTCCAGAAAAAAGTGCAACCAGATAAAAGGCAAAGGATTAGGGTAGGCCCTTAGTTCTGAGTTTGACTTCATAATGGAAAGGTTGGCCCCAAGGGACACTAGGTCCCCAACCTGCTTTCCTACTTCTCACTTTCTCCTCCATTTTATCCTCTTCTTGCTTCCTTCCTTGATGCCTTTTGTTCTTTTAAAAAATATATATATATATTATTTATTTCAGAGAGGAAGGATTTATTTCAGAGAGGAAGAGAGAGATATAAACATCAATGATGAGAGAGAATCATTGATTGGCTGCCTCCTCCATGCCCCAAACTGGAGATCGAACCCGCAACCCAGGCATGTGCCCTGACTAGGAATTGAACTGTGACCTCCTAGTTGTGACCTCCTATGAAGGTTGATGCTCAACCACTGAGCCACACCAGCTGGGCCCTTTTGTTCTTAAGACTGTCCTTTTCCTCTCCTTCCTGAACAGGAACCACCAGTAGAGAAATATTTAATAATTGTTCAGTCACACTCAATCAACAATTTTTAAGTAATCATTTGTGTGGGTATCACAAACAGATGTAAAGGGGTAGATTGTGCATTCCCCATACTTTCCCTCCCTCATGATTGACTCCCTCATAATTATTTGGTTCAACATTTATAGTGTACCTACTGTGTAAAAGGTATATAAACCTGAAAGAGCCAGAGTCTCTTCATTCCCTCCAATGGTTGAAATTAAATTATTAATATAATGCCCTCCATATAAACAAGTACAGCTCTTTACAAGATAGGCAATGTGATACAAAGAATAGTTGCAGGGCATCCTGGGATTCTAAACTCCCTCTATAGCATTTAGGGAAACATCATGGTGACATCAGCTAGAGCAAAACCAATTCCCAGCCTTCTTGATGTTGAGCAAGTTCCAAGACTTGGCTTCCTCCTCACATGCCTCCAATCACCCCTTCATTTGGTTTCTAGACTCAGTTAGTCTATTTCTATACCCCTCATTTTCTCACCATCCCCAGCTCCACAGTGTCCAAATTGGCCCTCTATTACTGAAACCATTTGCTGGAAATTCATTAGCTGAACACATGGGAAATTACAGAGGAGATTTCACTTGTCACTTAGGCTCAAATATAGAAAGTAATTTTAAAAGGACACTGGCGAGAGGCTATATTTATCTTGCTTGTTTGTGCTGAGTTGTATCTTACTGTCTTTCATTCTCTTTCTGGCTACCTCACTTCTTCCTTGCTTGTTTTTAAAATAAATAGTCACCTTTTAACCTTTGTCTCAGGTTCTCTTATCTTGCTTTATAGAACTTGAGACACTAGGCACTAGGAGGGATACAGTAATGAATAAGACAGACATGGTCCTTACCATGATGGAGATTACAGTCTGATGAGGCAGGTGAACATCAGGTAGAGTGAATTCAGATTTGATCACAGGAAAGCCTTAACAGAGTTAATTGCACCTTTCTGATGCTAATTTACCCTGCAGTAAATGGTCATGAAAAAATAGCCAGAATCTTAGCATGTTTGTGGGGTTAGGTAATAAACGAAATATATTCCAAGAATGCAAGGAAACTAAGACCCAGATTTCTGTGTGATATATACAAGTCTCCTGCGTAGGAAGAACATGGATTTGGGAGTCAGATGTGGATCTGATTCTAACTTCATCACTTACATATTAGCTGTTTGACTTTAGGCAGGTAACCTGAGGGGGAATGGAAACCTGACCCCCTGGTTCGTGGGCCAGTGCTCAACCACGGAGCCACACCAGCCAGACCAGAATCTTTTTTTCTAAAAGTATCTGTTTGGACTGAGCTTAGGCAGGCATATCTTGAATTCAAGAATGAACCTGCCAACCTCTTCATGTCCCATTTAGCCTAGGGAATCTTTATGAGAGGAATTGCTAAATTCTTTTTCTTTCCAAGCCAGACATGCTCTGGGGAGATGAATGCTGCCAAGAAGGCTCATTGCTCACAAGAAAAGGAAAAATGGCAGCTGTCATTTCAGGCACTTAATAAGTACACTAAATTGAGAAGCTGCTGATTTGTTTTACCTGGTTCCTCCTTCCTGATAAAGAAGAAATCTCTTCAATCAGAGGTTCTTTGAAGATGAGATGGAAGGCTGAGCTTCAACTGCAGAAAGTGGCAGAGGCAACATTCAAAGGAATAAGCCAGCTCAGCTAGCTCAGCGGTCAGCACCAGGATTCCTGGATTCCCAACCTCCTCTCCACCCCTAGGAAATTTCAGGTTGCCTTTGTTCTGCAGAGTTCTTTTCAAAGGGGATGAGTTTAGTTGTCCTTTATTCCTTCACCATCCTTTTCCTTTCTTTTTTAAGAAAGTTTTTTTAAAATATATTTTTCATTGATTTTTAAAATAATAATCTCACTTTACAGATGAGTAAAACTGAGGCTCAGAGAGGTTACATGCCTGACTTATAGTAACATAGCTAGCCAGCAAGCAACAAGCCAGGTCTTCTCATTGTAACTCTAGTCTCCCTGCACTACCTTGCTCTGCATTTAAATATAATATGTATGTGACATCATAATATGGCATGTGATATATGATATGGAATATAGAAGACATGCATACTATATTTGGTGAATTATGACATTAATTTTTCTCACTCAGTAAATATGTATTATACATCTATTATGTGCTTATCATTATTCCAGGTGCTGGGGATAGGGCAGTGACAAAAATAGACAAAAACACAAATTACTGCCTTCATGGAGCTTATTACATTCTAGTGGGGGATAGAGACATAAGATAATTATGTAAACTGTATTTTATTATGTATGTTATCATAAGGGCTAAGAATAAAAATAAAGTAGAGAAAAGGATAGGCAGATGTGGCAGTTGAAGTTTAAGGGTGCAGGAGGATCAAGGAAAGCTACACTGAAAAGGCTACATGTGAATAAAGACCTGAAGGAGATAAGGGAGTGATCATGTAGAGGGGTAGCTGGGAGGGGGCAGCAGCAGAGAGAAATGTAAATTCAAAGGTCCTGCGGCAAGAGTGAGCCTAGGGTGAGGCTAAGCTGGGGAGAGAATGGGATGGTAAAAGATGAGGTTAAATAGACTGAGAGGTTGGGATCCAGATGCCAGATCTCATAAGGAAATGAAGTGATATAATGAAGATGATATGCCATGATGTAATAATACCATGACAGTTTATTATGTTTTTCCATAACAAATTACCCCCAAACTTTAAACATTTATCTCACCCAGTTCCTGAGAGTCAGGAACTGGGAGCAGCTCAGCTGAGCTGACTCAGGGTCACTCAAGAGGTTGCAGTCAGGCTGTCTGCTAGGGCTTCAGCCATGTGAAGGCTTGCCTGAGGCCCTGCCTCCCAGCTCATTCATGTGGCTATTGACAGAGGCCCTCACTTCCTTACCACATGAGCCTCTCCAAAGGAGTTTCATGACATGGCAAGTGCCTTCCCCCAGAGCAAGTGATGTGTGTGTGTGTGTGTGTGTGTGTGTGTGTGTGTGTGTGTGTGAGAGAGAGAGAGAGAGAGGAAAGCCAGTGTCTTTTATAATCTAATCTTGGAAGTTACATACCATTACATCTGTCATATTCTATTGGTCACACAGATAAACCCTTGTACTATGTGGGAGGGGACCCTTTTTGTGAACGAGAAGCATCCTGCCTAGTCTAAAAAAAATGATGACAGGGAACAGAGCATTTGTTCTGTCTCTGAGACCCACTACTGGTTCTGTCCAGAGATGAAGACATGGCTCTCCTGAGACCTAAGCAGGCCTCTTACTCAAGTCCGGCAAGGCTCCCCCTTGGTTTTGCAATCAGAGTCAGCCAATTTCCTAAGTTGAGCAGCAGATGGCATCACAGCCTCAGGAGCTAGCAGCTGAGGCTGCTGGCAAGAGCAGCAGCCCTATTAGCAACTGAGGCTTGTGCTGGGCATCAGGGAGCTCCTGGGTGGTGGGAGCCTCCCCGGCTCCCAGCTCAGGGAAGTTTCTGTGTTGTGCTTGCAGATCGGGTATCTCAGAGAGCAGAGCCTGGAGCCCCAGTTAGGAAACAGATGACAAACACAGGGTCTTTTCTATGGTCTTTTCTGAGAAAGATGAAAATCAGAGATTGCCGTACCCAGAGCAACTGTTTTTTCATCACTGCCTGTCCTTTACTCACAAGGGTCTGATGGAGTATATCCTGGTTTGGAGGCTGGCAGGTCCCCTGCAGAAGCTTCTTGGGGTGACTAGATGGCACCAGAGACAATTTTTGGCATCAGAGGGCTCTGAAAACCATCTAGGGAATCCCTTTTTTTTTCTTTTCCCCTCCAGTGACCCAGAAGAGGAGCTATACCCAGAGCCGTCTCCCAGCAACACAGGCAGGGTTCAGTCCTGCAGACCTTCTATTTGTGCCTCAGTCTCCTTCCCTCTCCTTGTATTTCTGACTCCTGCTCTCTGTTCTACCTTTTCTCTCTCCTTCCTTTTTCCTCTGTCATCTCTGTCCATTTATGTCTTTCCCTCTGTGGATCTCTCTTTCTCTGCCCCAGAGAAAAGAAGAAAGCTAGTTACCACACTGCCTGGCTGTAGCACCATTGCCTATCTTTAGGGACTCGGACCCTTCCCACTAGGCCTGCCTTCCCACCCTTATTCCCTTCCTTCCTGCTGCTGCTGCTTGATGGTTAGTCCCAAGGAGACCATGGGCAAAGGGAGGAGGTCTAGAGGTCACTGAGAAAATATACTGGAGTG